AAGCAAGAATTGTGTAAGCTTCAGGAACAATTAAGTGAGGAACGGGAGTACACCACACAAAAGCGGAAGGTGGTTCAATACCTGCGGGAGACACTTTACAAGGAGTGCAACATTCTTCGCGCTCAGCTCTCCGCGGCGCAGCAGAGGCAAATTCATTATCAGAGCCTGTTGAAGGAGCAGCAACAGGCTCTTGCACATGCCTCAAGTGTCGTGAATGGCGAGGGACGCTCCGGAGTCAGTGTTTCTGCACATGAGACACCACGTCTTCCAAACATTAGCGGTACACGTGTTGCCCAGGGTGAGGCCTCCGTGATAGGGCTTTCCATGGCTCCAGGTTTTCATAGTTCTCGGCGTTTCAATCCAAATGTCTCTTTTGTAAGTATGATCCGTGGTAGTGTTAACGCAGAAGAAAATGAGGATGGTAATTGCTCTGATGTGGGGGGTGGTGCGAGTGCTGTGGTTCAAACTCAAAGGCTCTCCGTTGAAATCATGGCGATTAAGAGTCTCTTGGATCTTGTGTTGTTGGCGGTGGAAAATGATCAGGTGCTTCCAGCCAACGTGGCCCGATGCACAAATGTGGATGTGAGCCTTCTCACCAGCACCATGAGGAATGATCAGCACCACCGTGAGGAAGAAATGCGAAAGGAATTTTCCGAGCGGCAGCGGCAAGCAAAGCAAAATTATTCGTTTGGTCGCGCGCAAATGGCGGCATTGCTCTCCATGAAGGAACAGCAGATCGACAATATGAAAAAATTTTCTGATCCACGGTTCTTATGTAACTTTTGGGAGAAAAGGTGTAAAATACTGCGAAGCGAGCTTAGGCATATTCGTAAGGCCGTCCAGGAAGACTTGACGAGTCTTAGGCAGTTTGTGGTCACAACTATGGAAGGCATTATCAAGCGTGTGTATGTAGTGGATTCAAGCTTGAGTGAGAACCAAGCCTTATTCGCTACACAGTCAGTCTTGAGAGATATCATTTCCTCTGCCCATTCCCTGCTAATGCCCATGTTAACGACAGAATATGAGCGTGGCTACCACCCATGGCCAATCAAGCTTCGCAACACAATAGATCCTTTCGCCCGGATGGTTAGGGCTCGGTATGGGGATTCGCAAATGATGCTTGTGCGGGAAGAAATGAATGCACTAGGCAGTCTTTATGTTGCGGCGCATCACTATGTGATGAATCATGTGGTGACGCCTGTCTTGAAGCGGCCTTTGCCTGGGAAAACGCTGCGGAGTCTGTGTGCATTGCTGTCGATGAACAAAGGCACATCGGCGGAGCTGTGGATGAAAATTCGGGAAAAGTACGCACATGAACTTAGCTTCCAAAGGAGTATTGCACAGTTGAACATGTCGATTGTTTCTTTGATGTACCACCAGCGCATCATAACGGAGCGCTCTGCGGAGGCTATGCGGGAGGCCGGCATGGATCCCCAGCTCAGCGGTATACCAGTTCAGCGTACAGTTAACGTGATCGCGGAGAAATTGCACAAGGTGGTTGCCGACCGTGCAGCTCTGCGAAAACGGAGGCAGGAAAATGCACGTGATGTCTACCGAATTTGGAAGAAACAACAGATTGATATTAATGAGGGATACCCGGCGCCAACTCTACCGCAGCGACTCGTTGTGGCCGAGATGAACATGCAGCGGAAGGATTTCCTGTCCACAATCCCCCCCATGCCGGCTCACATGGAAAATAATTCGGAGGGGCAGTCCGTCTTTTCCACGAAGCAAGGCGCCAACTTCTGGGGGCGCATGTTCTCCACCACAACTGCACAAGGAAAGGACTTAGCAGAGGAAGACACGTCCTCATCAGAGGAACAAGAATTGCCGCAAGGAGCACCAGGAGCGTCGTCAGGGCCATGTGAAGAAGTTGTGAAGGAACCTTTGCCCAACACGAAGGATGCGCCAGCGTAAACGAGAAAAAAAAAAGTGTGCGTGTGGGGGTGGCCGGCGACATTGCCGAATGTGCTCTCCGAAACTAACGTTGCTTCTATGTACGCTGGCAAAAAAACAAAACAAAAAAAAATCTTGCAGCACCAAAGTTGAAACCGAGGCAAAAAAGAAGAAAAAAAAAGAGTCCAGCACAAGTAGCTGGCATTTTATACCAGCATGAAGAATTATGTGAATTACCTTCTTTTTGCTACTTTTTGTTGTTTGTGGTGGTGTGTGAGTCTCTCTTGCTTTTTCTCTCACTCACTCTGGCGACGAGTTTGTTATTGTTTCTACTGCAAACGGAGCGTGTACGGAGATTATTATTTTTTTGCCACTTATCTGTGGGAATTGCCTGTGTGTGTGTGTGTGTGTGTTGTTGTACGCCGTTTTTGCTTACTGGATTGCTACGTAATTGTTGCTGTTTTTTTTTCTTTTCTTACTTATCTTTTTGGTGGTGATGTGCTCGGATGGCGTTTGTGCGGCCAAGTCAGGTTCATAGCTCTCACTGCCAGACGCGTTCACAATGCGTCGGGCCGTGCCGTTTAATCTGACACCCGCCATTCTTGCCCCCGCCATGTCGAATGGGAACCACGGTGGTGATGGGGTTGCTGGCGAACCGCATGATGGAAGTGGCAACACTGATGGCATGGTACATTCTTTCACGTGCTCGTCTACGCGTATTGCAGAGGGTCACCGTGTCTTAGTTCCACTTCCGCACCCAACGGAGTTGGAGGCAGTAGTATTTCGGGGTGATACGTGGCGTCAGGCAATGCGTCGGCTGTACCACATTATCTTTAAGCTGCATCGATTACGTCTGCATCCCATGCAACGCGAGTTTGGTGACCGCTTTGTGCAGGTGGAGTTCCAGCGCCACATGGACGCCACCGAAAAGCACGCGCGCATTTTCTACCAATCTTGGTACGGGTATGTGGCACAGCTGGAAACCGGCCAAACGTCGCGTGAACTTACAGAGGAGGAGCGACGTCAATTGACGCCAGAGCAGAAGGAAAAACTCCGCGAGTTGCGAGGACACGTGATGCAGGTGCGTCAGACGGACTCGGACTTTGTGCTTTGAGGCAATAAGAAGGAGTTCTTTTTCTGTTTTCAACGTCATGTATACGTTGCGTCATCGTAGTGTAAGGTGCAATGTTCTACGAGCATACGTGTGTGAGGAGACAAGGGATCAGGGAAAGACGGTTGCTTGTCTCCATCCACTTGCAACGCACGCTTTCTTCTTAGCTCTTTATTGTGTCAATGCAGTCCCATGTTGCCTTCCTCCACACGCTCCACGGCAGCTGTCACACTGGTTGCCATTAGAATATATATATATATATATATATATATATGGCTCTTTTCCTTTTTTTCTCTTTTGTGTGTGTCTGGCGGAGGTTGCGCAGTAGTGAGGGAAATACAAAAATAAAAAGCGCGAAAACGGAAGAGAAATACGGAAAGGCATCTTGGGACACGTGCGGTGAGCAAGAGCGTGAACGTGTAGAGGCGTGCGAGCACCAACATCGTTATCACCGCACGGCCACATCCTTTCCTCCGCACGGCAAAGGGAAAATAGGGTGAAGCAAAAGGAGGGTAAAAAGAGGAAGAAGAAGAAAAACAAATGAGCCCGAAGATTTTCCGTAGACAGACGGTGCTGACGGGGTCTCAGTCTCCACAGACGACGACGAATGCTGGTAGCAACGCAACTAACAACTCCAGCAACGTGGGTGGTGTTCTTTCCTCTAATGGAGGCACCCATCAGAATTTAACCAACGGCGGCAGCAGTGGCCGTCGCGCTAAATCGCGCCTTCTGCCGGTGTCGCAGACGGACAGTTTATTGAAGCCATCAATATTGACATGGAAGTTGTCAGGGATGTCGTCAGGCGCACACATCCACAGAAGGCCACCGTCCGTTCAGGGACGGACAGTCTCGCCGATGCAGACACGCCAAACTGTCACAAAGCTAAAGAAGGAAATCATTGAGCACCGAGCGGATCCGTCTCCCGCCCCTTCACGTCCACCACGCAGAGTAGCACGGCATTCAGTCGCTGTATCTCCACCGTTAAATTCGATTAACCAGCTGCCTGCGCCGCGTGTCATGCTGGAACAACAGTGCATCAAAAGTACATTTCATACTAGTAACGATAAAAGGAGGTCGTCGGCACTGAATCGATCAACAAGACTCACTAAGGGAAACACCACTATTCCTGATTTTGGAGCTGCGCCGCAGAGTTCCCACACACCAGGACCCCTTGGTGTTGGACGTCACAACATTGTACTGGATATGAAGCGAAACACCGGGCAAGTTGCCGAACGGAGACAATTGTTAGATGGACCTCTATCAACTAATAAAGTGGCTTCTGGAGACACGGTGCGTGACTACAATGAGTTGTGTGTGACGTTGGGGCAGGCACCACAAGATGCATGGATTGCCGCGACATTAGAGGACACCAACAAGTCCAAGGGTTTTTCTAGTTCAGCATGTAATGTGGGAGTTGTAGAAGAAAAGAAACTGAATGCGAGGCGGTGCGATAAGGTGGTTTCTCCGATTGGTGGTCTTTGTGATTATGGGCAACGAAAAAAATTATCAAACAATACATTTTCTCTTAGAAGGCTGCGATCGGTAGAAGAGGAACGGAAAGTGTCTAGTGGGCCTCCAAGCATTTGTGCTCCTCCTCTCCCTACGGGGAAAACCGAAGATGCGAGTGGTGTGGAACTGGGCAAGGATCGTGTGGCGAAGGACACTGTTTCGTGTGATATGGTGACGTGCCGTCAACAACTCCAGCCGTACCAGCAGAAGATGAAACTTCTGAAGCAACGAAGAAAAGACGTCCAGGAGGCCTTGTACCATTTTTTGGCGCTCTGCCAAAGCCAATCAGACCCAGAGAAAAAGACTTCAAATTTCTCTCCTATAGCTGCGCTGGAATCTCACGCGAACTTGCTCACAAATGGATTAAAAGAACTGCAGCGACGAAACGTAGCTTTGTTGCTACGCCTAACTGAATATTCCCGTGAGGTGCGAAGACCGTTGGGATCGGTGGGTGGCAATTTGGATGCGGTTGTTGCTGAACGACATCAGCAGCATCAGATAGAGGAGGATGAGTTTGAGAAAAGGAATGAAGAGATATCTCTAGTGGTAAACAAACCCGCCACACGGAACTTGCCAAACCCGTTCGAGCAGTTTAAGGAAACTACACCCACGACTAATTCCATGACTGTGTCATCAATGAAAGAACCTTCCCGGGCCTATTTGAGTTTCCTTCGCGAGGAAGAAGGTCTTATTGTGCAGCAGCTAAACGAGGTGTGTTCACGCGTTCGTGAGGCTCTTACAAACGAACTCACTGTGACGATTGCGGACAAGGCAATGCTGGAGACGCCGTTATTCCTCCCGTCACTCCCGGATAAATGTCCCACGTGCCTCGAAAAGGGACAGCAGCCGCCGTCACAGCATGTTGCAGATTGCGGTTGCCCTTCAGGAGATCAAAGAGGGCCTGGTGTCGGTACCATGATGTCTTCAGCTGTTGATAGCGCTGGGCACTCGCCTGGTTTAACAAGGCGAAACACTGTGAGCCCAAAGAGTTCAGTCAAGAAGAAGAAAAACGGTGCGGTCACTGACAACGGCGGCCGTACTACCCCGCCCAAATGTACCGTATCACAAGGGGTGACGGCTTATCACGGGCCCTTTGTGGGCGTTGCATTGATGAACCGGATCTCTGCGGAGGACCACAGAAAAAAAGTGGAGGATGCCGACGGCGACAAGAACAGTTTTTTAGGGTGCAACACCGACAATCTGCAGCTCGTCTTGGGGGGCGGCAGACGATGCTTCTCCTATGCTCCTCTCCAAAAAACGGCAGGTGGCAATGCACCCATCTCAAGGAGTAAATCGACGTCCGCGTGTAATGTAACGCATAAAATGAAGACGTTATGGAAGATGACCTCGACAACAAAAACTCCTCCAACAGCCTCAACACCCACAACAAGGCTCACCGTGAAACCGAACAAGAGTAAGGCTCCACCAAAATCCGTTGTTGCGTCGGTCGCCATGAACGATATTCTTGCAGCACGTATAAAAGAGGCGGAAGAGACATGGAAGGCTATCAAAGGGTTAGCAAGCGTTGAAACTGCACGAACACCCACTCAGGTGCAACCGAAATGCGTGGGGCCAGCGCAGAAAATAGATGATAACGCCGATTTTCCACAGACCTTAGTGACGCAAGAAGGGCAACCCCCAGAGGTAACTGCATTCACGCCAACACCACTAAATTTAGTGGAACTAGAGAATACTATTAAAAAACATCATGCTTCGTTAAAGGACGAACTAGAGGTGGCGCCAGCTGGGCAATTAACGCTTACTGCTAGTTGGGTTTCAGATGCGTCTTGTAAAAATGAACTGGATAAAAATACAACAAGGACCGTTAGTGTCTCTTGTTTGAATAGCCCTTTGCGGTGTAAACAACAACAGATGGAGGAAGTGGAACAGCCACAGGTGCTGATTAGTGCATCCGCATCGCTGGAACGACCTGCTGCCTTCATAGAAACGGTACCAATAGAAGTGGTGATGGCAACCCGTATTAAGTGCTGCTGGCGACAACATATGGCTCGAGCAATGGTGAGGCAGCGACGGAAACAGGTGGATTATGAGAAGAGGCAGCAGCAGCGTTGGCATCTTGAAAATGTCATGGCTTTTCGTCTTCAGCGTCTGTTTGCCAAAAACGTCGCGCGACGACGGCGTCGACGTGAAGCGATGCAGAGGCAGTGTGATGCTACTTTGGCCCCACAAAGTGATACCAAAATGGCTGACAAGTGGCGATCTGATAGTAACAAGGAAAATTCTGAACGTCCATTGACTTTGCGAGAAAAATTTGAAAAATCAAAGGAGAGACGTAGAAAGCTGCTGCATTCCACGCTAAACGACACCAGCTTCGTCTCTGGCTTGGGTGGTACTCTCTGTGGTCACCCCGGGACGGAGACGCGATTGGGGAAGAGGCAGCAACCGGCGAGTGAAGTAGCTGTGAAGGTGCCGCCGTTAGACCTTAAATCCAGTTGTATTTCGACTCTTGATATTGATAAATATTGGCTACACGGAGAAAATTTTAGAGTGAATATTTTGCATCGTCTATTGCGTGCACCGAGGGCCCTTCTCTACGTGCTTCGTGTCATGTGTGAGGCATGTCCCACAAGGCCTGTGTCAGCGCTGGCCTTCTTGAAAGGTGTAGAAGATGGGAGACTTAAGAAGGAAGGCAAAAACAATGGCAATCAGCAGACGCCACAAACCGAAGAAGACGTGGGAAAATGGGAGAAGGAAGATAAACACACTTTCAATCAACCAGGGGCATATCAGGAAGACTGTGCAAAGAGCAAAAAAGGAACGAGTAATAATCCTCTTCATCGTCATCCTCACCAGGATATGAAGGATGAGAATGAAATACGCTGGTATGTACTCTCGTATCGCATGCTGCGTCGACGCCTTCTCGCTCGGAAAGCGGCGATGAAAAATGGTGTGGACGCCAGAGTTATTTGTCCCTTTTCTATCCATGTAAAGAGCCTTGTCGAGGAGGATGAAATGTTGCATGAAGTGCCAGTGGCAAAGGGCTTTCAGCGACCGTTTGAGTGTTGGGGTACTGCATATGCTTTTCAAGCACGGGTTTTTAGTGCTGCTGCGGAGTATGCGTGGAAACTTATCTTCAGCCACACGCCACATGACGACTATAAACAACGTATGCTTAAGACGAAGGAGGAGAAAAGGGCTCGTCTTGAGCGTGTGGAGCAACGGAATCGTATGATTCTTGCCTGCTATTGTGTCAGCTCTGAGCAGGAGTGGTTGAAGGAGGCTTCAAATGATATTGGCTTCATTGCTCGCATCTGGAACCCAAAGAGATCGTTGGATTCAAACGACCCTGATTTTGAGCGGCACTGCCACGAAACATATGACTTTGTTGAAGACTTTCTCTACCAGTGTTTCCCTACCATCGCTGACCTTGAAGAGATACCAACATTTCTCATGGGCGCAGGCATTTTTTTTCTGTTGAAGTCCACGCTTTCGTACGCGAAGGAAAAAGAAAAGGTGAATGAGGAAGATGAAAGCTTATCGAGAGACATTCCTGGTGGGGCTGCTAACAAGATTCACGGTGGATCATTCCCTCCAAGGAACGTCATTGCCTTGTGCGATCCGAAGGTGCCACTGACCACAGAGCAACGCGAGACGATTTTTGCCTATGAGGTCTTGAACCTCCTCGAATACCTCATTTGTTTTGACAGCTCTGAACCGCCAATGAGGGTGGACACCGCCATAAACAGTAATAGTAATCGCGACTACGAGGATGAGGAGGAACATGACAGGAATACAAACAACAATAACATGGACGGGCAAGGCGTGCTCTCTGAAACGAGTGAGGAAAGGTGTGAGCGGGTGGAACGCCCATTAGGAGCGGCCATGCGCTTAGGTGAATGCTTCCCATTCGTATTTGCTTCATTGTTCAGTGAAATCGATGCTGTATTGCCTGCAATACAGCGTCCGCATTTGCGTCTAGTGCGTACGCCGCTTCCAGAAGCATTGACAGCCAACCAACTAGACAAGGCAGCTACTGATACAACGAATGTGAAAGGTAATGATAACACTAATATGGAGCTGGAGCTTGTGTACCCGAGGGGATATCTTGTCAATCTTAGTGAGCGAGTGATGCGTGCCCTGCTCGGGTCGTGTCCTAACTTGGAGGTTTGTGAGGACATGGACGCCACATTGTGAAAAAAAAAAAGGGGGGGGGGGAAGGCGAGAGATAGATACACAATGAGTATGTGTTTGCCTGTGTGACTGTGGGCTGGTTAAATTAGCAGGAAGTGGGCCACTCTTGTGAGTATGTGTGCACATATGCATGTTTCTCGCCAGTGGTGTAGTGAGAGGGTGACAGATACTCGTAGAGAGTGATAAAGAAGTGTAAATAAACATAATAAAATTGAAGGCAATTATTTGGTGTATAAAAAAAGGCTGCTTGTGTTTTATTTTCTTCATTCCTTCCTATTGTCCGTACCTGTCTCGCTCTCACCCTCCGTTTGTATTTGCTTGAAGTTTATATATAATTTAAAACTATTTTCTGTTGGTATGTGCGTGTGTTTTGCATTCATTAATATATGTTGTTGTTTCTTCTTATTCTTCCTTTTCACTGTTTTGCGTTTATTGCTTACATTGCCTCTGAGTGAGTGTTGTTGTTGTTTTACATTGTTTGTTTTTTTTCCACTTCAGAGGGCACTCTTTGGTACGCTGCTCATTTCGACATGCATGTGCATAATATTGTATGCAGCGAGCTTCTGTGATTCATGACCTCTGAGGGTTCCTGACGATGACTCAATGACGCGGCATAAGGGGACTGTGTGAAGAAGTGAACGTGTGGGTGCGTGATTCTGCTGTTAGTCTCTTTCAAAAGAAGGAAAAAATGGTTTCATGTGCACCATGCATACAATCTGTAGCAGTGGAGGGGAGTAATAATAACAACAGTAAGAGAGAGGGAGAGTTAACCCATTGATCTTTGTGTTCTTGTTTTAAGTGTGTGGACGGAACAGTGCTGTTTGAATTGAGAATGACGAGGAAGAACACAGTATCAAGCCGTCTGTTCATCACGCAGGTATTGAGACGACAGTGGAAGATCAAAATGAGGGAAGTAGGAGGGGAGATTCTTTGTCTACAACAGTTTGAGTTTGTGTGTGTGTGTGTGTGCTCTTTTGGCGGAGTTGCTTTTTTCATCAGTTTTTTCATTGAAGTGTGCAACTCCGTTTATCCACTGGCCTATCACCGCTCTTTTCCCACGTGATTCACCTTCCTTTCGAAGAACAAGAGGAATGTTGTTTTTTCCTTTGGAAATGTTGCTGGTTCTGCTTGTTTGCATCTCTCTTCCTGGTATCCCTTATTGTTTTGGGAGAGAAATAGAGAAAGAAGGAGGGGAATGAAGGGGCGGGGAGCATCAATGCGTGCACACGCGGATGGAGCACACACAGCGACATCAACGGCCTTTTAAGGTGATGAGAACCACAAGAAAATGATGAGCAATTTTGAGGGGAAGAGGAGTACGCGTTTCTGTGCCTCTCTTTGAATCCAACACCCAACTCCTTTTTTCCACCCCATGTGTGTATGTGTGTGTGTCGTTGAGTACTTTGGCTTTCTTTTTCTCTTTTTTGGTTTGCGTGACGCATGCACGCATCGAGGGGACGGCATAGTTTTATCGTTTTCACTGCAGTTGGCACGTCTTTCTGCAAGGATATTTGCTTAGGGACCTCGGCTTCACATACTAAATTGGCACCGGACTGTCTTGTGTTGTTGTTATTTCCGACCCCTTTAGGCTGCTTGCATTTGATTTGCCTCATATATATTTGGCTTTGTTGCACCCTTTGCTGGGGCGTCGCCGCTATTTTGATTCTGTGGAAAGAGAGAGGAAAAAGGGGAGTTTCTTTTTTGCTTCTTGCGTTGATTCCTCGGCTGCGGCTCTCCGCGCGGACTAAAGTGAGTTGAGTGTGTGTGAAGTGGAGGTTGTTGTTTTTTTTGGGGGGGAGGTGGGAGGGGGGTGGGGGGTTCGTTGCCACTGCAGCCCATAAGACGTGGTGGAAGCTTCTTGCTTTCTCTCTGCTTGTGTGAAATTAAAAGGGAGGGATTTGGTGTCATGCATGGAATGTGGCGGCTGTCGTTGCCTCTCCTGGCTTCTTCTTCGTTCTCCAACAGTCGTCGTCATGTGAGACGCGAGGCGGTATTCTTGCCATGGAACGCGCGGCCATGGCCTTCGTACGAGACGCACGCCGACCAATGGCGTTTCCTGGACCGCACCCTTTCCGCTGTTGTTGGTATGACACCAGCTGAGGTCTCGGCGAAGTCCTTGCGACTCTTCCCGCGACGTCTCCTGCAGGATATTGAGGACCCCGTGCTTGCGCTGCAGCGGCGACGACGGCGGGAGGCACAGCACACATCGAAACCGCAGCAGCAGCGGCATCAAGAACAACAACCTCAGAAGCAAGCGCAACAGCATCAGCAGCGGCGAAGGAGGGACGCAGCCCCACTCAGTACACCTACCGGGGCGCGTCCGAGTTGTTTCGTACAGAACAACAACGACAAGGCCAAGAACGGTGGGGGTGTGTTGGTGGAGAGGGGGAGAAACACGGTGGTGCCAGCGACCGTCTCTTCTGCTGCCACTGCTTCTTCTAAGAATGGTCTCAGGAGCAGCCGCACTCAAAAGAGGAGGGATGTGACGGGTACGCCCCTTGGGATGGCTTCTGGTGCTCTTGCATCATCATCAGCAGCGGCGGCAGCACCACGTGCTCCTACAATTATGCCTACCTCCACGACGAGTGTTAACGCTTCTAATAACATCATCGAGACTGCTTTGGTCACTCGATCTCCCTCTTCAACACGCTTTTCAGCATCTGCAGCAGTGGACAATAGGATGCCGGGACGCCCTTCACGCGGCGATAAGTACACAACTGCAGCAGCAGGAGGAAAGGGAGAAAAGAGGCCAAACAACAAGGGCAACATGAAGAGCCAGTCGGGGTCTACAGTGCTAACAAGTACTGTCTCTATTGAGGCGATCAAAAGTGGCGAGGCAGAGGCAAAACATGCAGCAGCGAGGGAAACGATTGACCTGAAGCCGGATAACTCTATTGCACAACCGCCGCTAAGAAAATCGAAACACTCACGCAGCCAAGGCAAGGGGGGCAAACGCGGAAAAGTGGGCAATAGGTCGCCTGCCTCATTGGAAAACACTGCTGCACTTACAACATCTAATTCTTCTACTGTGGAAAGAGATCATGATGGGAATGGTGAGGAATGTAGGAAATCACCTTCAGGTGAGGCGGCCGGCACGAACGTGTAACGACGTCTTGAAATGCAATGATTTCTTGAAATAGCATATGTACATATATATGTATACGCTCGTATATCAAAAATATATGTATATAATGATGCATTAGTAATAGCTGAGGCAGTGATGGCGGGGTGGGTGGGTAGAAGGGGGAATATATATATGTCTTATATTCGCCAAGAGAACGGAGGAAGTGAAAGAGAATACGTTTAAATATATATATATATATATGAATAAAAGAACGCTGTTGAGGTAAATAAACTTTTTGAAAGGGAGTACACTGTTTGTGTGTTTGTTTGTCTGTCTGTCCGTCTAGAAGGAAAACAAAAAACGCAGAGATAGAGAAGTAAAGTTTGCGTGATGAACGTTTGTAGTGTATATATATATATATATATATTCATCATCATACCTATAACGGTAGCAATAATAGGCGAGGGGAAACTGTGCGTAATGTACAGTGAACTGATTGGTGGCTCTTAGTTTTGTCAGTGGTGTCCTCTTTTTCTTCATGCGCGGCACGCATGCACAGATGTCTCCTCTTTACATCAACGTGCATTGGGGGAGGGGGTGCTGGACGGTTATAGTGCAGGTTTGTCATTCTTCTCCTGGTGGTGTTTGGCTCGTTTTTTTTTGTTTTAGGTGATGGTTCCGCTTTAAATATGTATGCGTGTGTTTCCTTTTTTTCTTCATTAGAATTTGTTTGTACTAGACCTTCTCGCACGGAAAAAAAAGGTTGTGGAGGAGAATGCGAGTTAAAATGGGTATGCGGAAATAATGTACTTGAGAGTTTGAGGTGTGCAGTCATTTTTTTTTTTTCTTTACTGCGGGTATTCTCCCGACCTCTCTGCAAAGCCGTGTCTGTGATTGTGTGGGCTGGTACTTTTTTTTGTTTTGCATGATCGTGTGAGGAGGGAAAATGGGGAAGGAAGAAGTGGAAAAATGCATTTTGGGTTTAAAAAGAACAACAAGAGAGGTGGGGACTGCGAGAGGAGCGGGTGTGAGAAGGGTGGAATGAATGGATTCACGTCAGCATTCTTTCCTTCTTATCCCTATGGCTGATATTTTTGTTTTCTATTCTGCCGGTTTATATATATATATATATATATATGGTGTCCTTTTTTGCCGTTTCCTCTTCCATCTATCTTTTTGTGTGGGGTTGTCTGTGTGATGATGACTTTCTTTTTTCTTGTTTGGATGTTACGAGATTATTGGTGCTTCACGTGTGTAAAATGTTCCCGCATGCCCGTTTTACTGCCACCTTTCAGTCTTCTCTCACTGTTGCTATCACTTTTATGATTGCACGCTCTTGTCGCTGCGATCGGTTTTTTTTTCTGCGGTCTGTCTGTGTGAGCCTATCACTGCTGCTGGCGTCCCTGAAGCAGACCTCCGTGATGAAGCGGGGAAGGGATGGTGAAATTATGTGAACCCGGGGAAGACGGTGTCGATTCTGCCTACAGATATATATATACCTTTTTCCCCCTTTATTTCCTGCATTTGTTGTGTGATCACCTCTTGTGCTTACGTTCCCGTGGTCGACCGTGCACAAGTGTGTATATATATATATATTAGACAGCCTAGACATGGTGCTATGCTTCAAGTGTGGACGATCGCAGGGGGTTGCAAGCAGCCGTGACGGGGCGAAGAAACCTTACTGCGCGGAGTGCTTTGTTGAGTTCTGCACACGGCATATCCGTGACAATTTATTTAAGCACTGCGGCGTGCCGTGTGAGGTGCCGCTCGTTGTTGCGGTCTCGGGCGGCCCGGGATCTATGGCACTTCTCCACCAACTTGGAGTTTTGCGGATGCAAAACCGTATGCGCCCCAAACGTGGCCAAATCACTTTCACCTTTATTCCATTGCATCTACGCGAGGATGAGCTTGTGGTGCCACTGCTGTCAGACGATGCGGAGAGTCATGTGGGAGGTCCGCAACAGGTGGAGCTGCGCCGTATTGCAGATGCCATGACGGGACAATTTGAAAAACTAGAAAAGATGATACGGACGCAGTGTGTGCAGTGGGAATTCGGTAGTGTACCTCTCTTTACAACGGACGAGGTGTGTGTGGTGCGTTACAGCGATTACTTATCACCGAGTGAGATGCGAGTTTTTCGTGCAGCCTTGCATCATCCACGTCTGCCACTGACACAGCGGGAATTCCTGTACGGACGGCTGCGACAACGCGTATTGACCGCTGCCACTATTGAGTGTATCTCCCGCTGGCACCAAGCAAGAGATCTTTTAAATGTTGGGTGGTACCACATCTTGACAGGTGAGAATGCCCTTCGCTGTTGTGTGACGACGTTTCGTGAGCTTATGAGTGGCAACGGTGAGAATTTTGTTCATCACTGTGGTCACCGTGGCTTTGTCAGCCAATGCCTTGTACTACGCCCACTGCGCAGCCTGCTGCCACGTGAGCTCGTACTGTACTGCCACACCCAAGGCATTTGGGCGGGGTACTCCCCATCTTTAAGCACCAAGACGAGTCTGCGATCTATGAATCGCACGCTGGAGCTGTTTTTTAACAATATGCTCCAAACCTATCACACCTCGGTATTTAATGTGTTGAACACGGTTAACAAACTCCACATAGAGACGGCGCCAGAGCTCACTTCTGTGGAGCTGCAAATTGGGGTGTCGCCGCAGCAGACGAAGCGTGTCATACCTGGAAAGACAGCCCAACACCACTATGAACAGTTGCAGATGAAACAACTCCCGCACTATTCGTGGTTTGGTCGAAACGATGGGATGCCATCTTCTTCAGAGAACGACGACCGAAGTCATCATCTCTGTTTGCTTTGTGGTTGTACCATTCCAACTGTTGGCAAACATGTCATCCTACTTCAAGCAGAAGGACGGCTTTTTATGTGCAATGCCTGCATCACGTTTGTGCAGGGCCTTCCGGATGACGTAATTACTGTTGTGCCGTCATTGAACACCACAGAGCACGCGAGCAGTGACAAGAAACTGTCATGGCAAACAACAAAGGAGACAGACAGTGACTTACTTGGTGTCTTCTTGTCCTTGGCGATGCGGATGGAGTCACTGATGCGAACTGCTGTTACCACTCCAGAGACAAGTAGGGAGGCGGACACAGTGGAGACACGGAGAGTGCGTCGCCGGCTGAGCGAGCATGATGTGAGGAATTCACTCCTGGAAAAAGACGGAGAGGATGAAGAGTTGTGCGAGTGAAGAAAGGAAGAGAATGAGGTGATGCTCTGGCGCCTCCTAGTCACTAGATGCATGTTTCTTGTATACTACTGTGTTGGTGTCTTGCCGTCTTTGGCTTGGGGGTTGTGCTTTGTGACCTACGCTGCAAGCGTTCACTTCAGCCTGTACATAAGGCTCTTCTTATTTCTTGTTGTCTTTTGTTGTTGTATCTTTTGGACTGTTTTACAGATTCTGTTCAGACGTATAAAAAAGATTTTCTATGTGTAGGTCTGCTTGTGTGAATCCTTATTCGTTTTCCTTCATTTATTGACAACCTTAATGCATGTAGCGTTGGTATTTCAAGCAAGCGACCCAAATTATTTTTATTACTCTCGCTCTCTGTGTATGTGTACATTTTCATTACTGTACTTTGGTAGCTGGCGTTGCAAAAAGGAAGAAAAAAGAAATTAATAATAATGACTGTTGCGACTACAATCTTTCGCCATCCATTGGCCTCAAAGCGATTTATGATGGTCTTCTACAATGAAGTGGGGGATATGATTAAGGAGTTGTTTGAGTTGCAGACACGCTATGTGGCGATTGGCCCCATTGCAATGGGGGCGTATGGTTTTGTCTGCGCCGCGACAGACAACGAGATGGTAGAAAAATTTCGTCTAAACCCACCTGAGGAGTACAATGACACCTCCCTCTCTCCTGAGGAGCGCCAGGACATCTACCAGCACCATACCATGGTGGCGGTGAAGAAGCTGCGGCAGTTATTTGAGCGTAATCAGCCACGCATGTGGTTGTGCGCCACACGTGAGATTCAACTCATGATGGCCTTTAAACACGACAATGTCATGTCTGCCCTAGACTTCTTCATCCCACTTGGCGAGTGTGAACGGATGACGTACGAGTCTGTCGACTACCTGTGGCACAACTTTGATAGCGTCTACATTGTCATGAAGAAAATGGACTACACGCTACGGGAGGTGCTGGAATCTAGTGTCTACCCCGCGACGGATGTCTTAGACGAGGGTGGTGAGGAATTCAACGGGAATCCGACAACGACAAGTTCCACCAGAACAGCGCAGAGTGATGATAGTGTTGATGATAGTACGAATAAAGGTTTGAATAGTGGAGCTAAGAGAATAGCGCGATGCCCGCAGACACATCTTGTGCTACACCCACTTTCTCGCGATTATCGCATGTTCATACTTTATCAACTGTTGCGCGGGGTGGGCTACATGCATTTATGCGGTGTCATTCACCGCGACATAAAGCCGGACAACGTTATGCTGGATTGTAACTACAACGCACGAGTATGTGATTTTGGTCAAGGCCGTGACGCCTTTGCAATGGAATGGAATGGAGTTCTTCAAACCTTTTTGGATAACTGTACGCAGTGGTATGCCGCGCCAGAGACACTGACGCTGGCCCAAGTCTCATCTTCCTCCGGATTTGTTTATCAAAAGACGCTGCATGCTGCGGACGTGTGGTCGATTGGTTGCGTCGCAGCAGAGATGCTTATAGGACGGCCCCTCTTCTATTGTCGACGCTTCGGTGGAGTCGGCCAACTGAACGCCATTATGAGCGTCCTTGGGGAGCTCTCTGAGAAGGACGCCGAACGTATTTTGCAACTTCGCGACAATGACACTAAAAAAGTTTTTAAGTGTGTCCTTCAACAGGAAATGCAGCAGCATGTCAATAATCCGTCTAGACTGAGGGGCTTGTTGCAGTCTCCATACGGTGATGTGGATGAGGACGAGATCAAGCTCATTGAAAGTCTCCTCTGTTACGATCCAAATTGCCGCATAACTATTCAGGAAGCGCTTCAAAGTCCGTACTTCATCAAGGAAGGATATGAACCTGTCATTGACCCAAGCGACACGGCGACGCGCGTACGGGCGGTGGAGGCAAATGAGATTGTGGATGCAGTGAAGGGGCGCAAGTTTCTCTGGTTACTCTTCCTGAAGCATCACCCTGAAGTGGATGAACTCATTCGAACTCTGCACCTTCGGAGGAGTGGCAGCTCCACAGAGGACACGCAAAATTCATCCGCAGTATATACGCAAGACGCAGCGCTCCCACTGGAATGAAGTTGCACCTGATGGAGGTATTGCACAGGAGCTAAACATAGACGCTGACCCACAAATCAATGAATGGACAAGAAAACAATCAAGGACAGACAAATAGAAATGGAGCACATGTAAATGCGTTGCAGAGTTCATTACAACGTGTAGAATGAATGAATGTTGTTCTTGTTGGGAGAGAGGGAGGGGGGTTGTATGACTTTTTTTTTCTCTCCTAGTTTTTGCTTCTGTGCCGCTCTTTTTGCGTTGGGTCATTTCTTTTAAGAGTGTGATGGTGCTGGAAGATGTCGGATGCGTTGTTATCCGGCGAACTGCGGTCGTCTCGTGGTCCCTCTCTTGTGCGTTTTTTTTTTTTTGTTGTTCGCCTCTCCGTTTATTTTGCCATGTGGGGTCGTCGGGATGGTGCCCGCCAGCCGAAGGGTGGTTGGCAAGAGGATGATAGCACCCCCAGCTGACTGCGACGCACATAAAGAACGTCTTCTGGCGGAATTCCTGGCGGCCCGCATCGGCGACAGCATTGTGGACGTATCGCAGGCCATCAACGCAAAGTTTTTTTCTCACCCACTCGAGAACGTACGCGGCACAGCACCAAAAAACGGTCGGATTTTTCTCACAAGTGCAGCGGGGGCACGACGCGGGAACATAACAGCAAAATTGATTTTTGGTGGCGATCGGCGGGCTGCCTCTACCTCGCTAACGGGGGGATGCCACTTGAAAAGGGAAGAGAAACCTGATGCAGAGAAAAATCGATGGATCCGCGGAGTTCTTATTGTGTCGAGCACGATTCCACCCCCATCGGCGTCGGTGTTTTTGGATCGTCATGGTAACGGCTGCGTCTTCTTCTTTGGGGGCCACAACGTGTCGGTGCAGCTTTTGGTTCGCGTTGTGGGTGTGCCGCTTCCACCGTTCATTCCGCATGCCTCCACCGCAGACTCCACCACAACAACAACGATGCAACTGTCAGCGCGAGAGAAATACAGGCAAATATTGCTGGAGACTGAGCTTTCCTTCCTGAAGAGTTTAGAGGCGTGTTTGGTGTGGCTGCTGCGTTCTCAGTGGTGTGAGAAGATGCAGAGAAAAAGCCACGACAGTCATTTGTGCCGTGATCTAAAGGGCCCAGCATCGTTAGTGTCGGCATCATTCTTCACTGAGGAACCGGCGACGCTTTCGGTCCCGCTGTATTACCTTCCCATGCATGTTGAAGACAATGCCAACTCGCGCCTTGCGGATGTAGTTGGGTTTGCAGCTGAATTCATGGATCTGATTTTGGACGCGGAGAAGTCGGTGGTGAAGGAAACAACAACCCTTTTACAGCAACTGGTGCGACTCTTCAGCATGATGGAAAACAGTACGGAGGGTGACAGCGATGCTGAAAGAACGAACAAGAAGAGCGAGGAGGATGTAAAGGAGTTTCTCTACCATTTGTACAGCCGGGCTGCTTCGCTGCTGCAAGCGAGGTGTCACCGCCATTCACATGCAAGTATGATCGTGAACAGCAGTAACAAGCGTCTTCCTGGTGCTGATGGGACACCAACACTCCCGATTGGGTGCAATGATGGCGAGTGCAGCGTGCCCCTTTCGGAGTTGGTCTTGGATGACTCGACAGTGGATTTAGAACCCTCACCATGTGTCCCCGATGATAGTTATAACAGCGACGTTGGTGACCCTTCGTCCTCCACAGGTGCTAGCTGTGATGTCCAGGAATCACAGGGACAAGCCACATTAGAAGAAAAGGAGGGCGATAGCATATGCACTACCTGCTCGCTACCTGGTGTTTTGGTTCATTGCATGAAAGGCGTATCGCGGAGTCCAAGCGTCATCATGGCGTACTACCTGCACAAGTGTTGTCGAGAGTTTTACGCGCTTTCTCGTATTCCCCGCCATGCAGAGCTGGCGTACCCAATTACATCAGCCGCGGTGGATGACATGGAAGACGTGTATGTCTTTTCTTTCCACCGACTCTTGGAGTGCTTACAGGAGGCACGTCCTGTCGTAAATCCGCAAATTTGTTTCCTTGCTGAACTGAGGTCAATGTGGGTGCGTTTGTCGAAAAAAATGGCTGAAAAGGAGGCGGAAAAAAATTTGTGACAAATACACTTTAAAAAATAATAATAATTTTGTAGTGTTATTATTTTGTCTTTGTTGTTGCTCTCATCTCTCTTTCTGTCGAGGTGGTGTGGAAACTCCAGAGCTCGCCGGGGTCTGGACCCCCACACGTGTTCCATTTGATGCAATACATTTTAAGTATTTCCCAGATGTGTGAAGACGTGCACTTACACAAAACAACAACAACAACTGTGATGTGTATGTGTATGTGTGTTTGCAGCTTTTATTGGGACTCAATCTCCTCTCTCTCTCTCTCTCTCTCTCTCTCTCTCTCTCTCTCTATTGCTTCTGTTTCTCCTCCCTTGGTGTGTGTTCGTGGGTATGGGCTTGCCCGAGAGTTCCTTGGCATCCCTCCGATTTATTTTATTCTTTTCCTTTTGTTATTGGCTGCTCTCCGTACAATTGGGAGTTGCTTCTTGCTAGCACGCACCGAGGCTAACTAGGACCCCTTGCTTGTATTAATGGCGACTCTCAAGGTAACGGTGCATGAGGCGCGGGACCTTCCTATCATGGATCGCACCACCGGCCTCGCGGACCCCTACGTCCTTGTGAGGCTTGACGACACGGAGCATACCACAGATATTGTGCATATGTCACGACACCCGGTATGGAACACGGACCTCCGCATTGACACGTCCGATCTATTTGTTCTGCAGGAGGACCCACTGGAGGTGCGTCTTTATGATCATGACATCATCAGCCGCGATGACCTCGTTGGGCTCACTTTTATTGACTGCAATTCAATGGTGCTTCAGAGCCGCCCTTCCATGAGTGGCTGGTTTCCTCTCTTTGACACCACTGAGGAGGGTATTCGTGGCGAAATTCGCCTCACGCTGAAAATTAAGTTTCATAACGCTGAAAACCCTCTTGCGCCACGAATTCCCATACGTTATGCCCCACATGTAATCCCGCTTGACGTTGAGCATGCAAACCGTGCGGAGGATCAACTGCTGTCCTCAAATCTGACGCCAGAGATGCATCTCTTGGACGGTTTTGAGCCGTTGCGGCCTCCGCAAATGCAGCACCCTTCCATCACTGCGGATGAGGAAGGCATTCTCATTTTTTCCGCATGGCGTTTAGACCCTTCTGTGTACCGCGTTGAGTCGGTGCTCACGATGGTGGAGGAGCTTATTGTGAAGGCGGATCCGGAGCACTCCAAGCTGACCAATTTGCGTAGTACTCGCACCACGAACGAGGCGCGTATTGTTCAACTCTACAAACTCAGCGGAAAAGTACGACGCCAATTGACTCGTAAAGTTGTGGAGGCTCAGTGCAACGCGGTGCTTGGGTATGTCGAGGAGTTCGATATGGATGCAAACGGCATTGTTGTGCGGGGTTATGGGACGCCGTGTGTTGTTTCTGCGGTTAAGTTTGTTGATCGAGAGAAGACGGAATCATGCCTACCAACCACCACAAGAGTGGCAGTGAACCCAACGGAGACACCCTCCGGTTACCTCACGCCTGCACACGGTTCATTCAATATGATGTCGCCTATGCCAGTCATAGACTCGGTTGGCGGTGTTGCTGCTTCTGCAATAGTGGATGCACAGGGAACAGGAGCAGCCGCTGGCACACTACTAGTTCCCGCAATGCAGCGCTCCTCAGTGCCAGGACCTGTATTGTTGCCTCTTTCGTTAGCAGAAACCCAGAATGTTACGCAGATGGCATTCCATAGCTCCACACAACCTCCTCCACCTTTTTCATCCGCTGCTCAGCCACAATTTATTTCAATGCCTCATGATGGTCATTCAGCAGTTATTCTAAAAGCCGATTATGGGGCTCCAGGTTTACCACCACAGCAATCAGTCACAGGGACACGTACCAATGTGCTCATGTTGACCCTCAAGGATCTTCCCTATGGTATGATAGAGCATATTGGAGGCTACATTAGCGCACGGTCTGTAAAAATTGTGGGCAAGTTTAAAAGCAAGGTAAGGCTCTCATTACAGCTTGATAGATGGTGGATAGAATTACGAAATGAACTCAAGGCGAATGCGCGAGCCTTTAATTGTAACGTCATCTTAGGATACGAAGAGGTTGTCATGTACCATGGAGATGTGGCGGTGTTATCGCTTTCTGGAACCGCGGTGGTGTTAAACTCCACAATGTATCCACTGCGTTGTGGTCCGGAATATATTTACCAAACCGCACGAGAACGTTTTAGCACACAGAAAAATTGTTCTGCGCTACATTTACTTCACCCCAGTGTGCGTTTAACAGACTTGGTTGGAGAAACGGGAGCTGTCGCGCGGTGTAATATCTGTCATCGCAAATCCGTACCCGAGGTACTGCTTATGACGTGTGCCATGCCGCAGGATCTCACGTGGGAAGAACCACCTAGACTTGTGCATGCTGTTGTGTCCAAGGCAAAAAGTGACGTTCGCGGTGTGGACCTTGCCCTCGCCGTTTCACAGGCACTTCCCTATATTGAGTACTCCTTGCACAAGCAGCTCCTCTTTCACCTAAAGTTGCAAAAGTTAAACGCTGTTTTTGGGCTTCGACTTACTCTTTGCATTACATCTGACACAATCATCGGTGCGTTTATCGGCACAGGTGTTCGTTTGATGGCACTTCCAGTACCATCTTCACCGCGAGTGAGAGTTCTAGACCCAGCGATAAAACGTAACAAAACTGTCATGCGTTTAGTGGACCTTGTGACGCAGCACATTCGATTAGGCCGACTTCAACGTCATAACTCCTCCACACATGGTGAAGAAAATGGTTCTTTTTCCTCAACCTCATCCCTTGCAAATAGAATGGAAGATTCCCGCGCTTCTTTGACAGGGGTTGGTGGTGAATCTGGTTGTAACTCGGGGAATGATCAGGAGCCCCATGGTATTAGTGAGGTGGGGAGCGCTTATGATTACGTTCTTAACATTGACGATGAAGAAGAGGCAGAGATGATGCTTGACATGACTTCCGATTTACCTTTTGAGGATAGCCTACTATTAACAATACCTTACGTGCCGGAATGGGTCAATATCTATAGCTCTCAGAAACGCATTGTGTTAAATCGTCGTTTTGCATTTCAGCGAGTACACAATGCGTCTTTTACTACGGGTAAAATAAATGAGTGTTTTGCAGATGCCAAAAAAGCCTTTGTGCAACTCGCCTGTCGTGTAGCAATGCGATGTCACCAATGTCCATTGGAGCGTTTGCATGTGATGGGGTTTAGTTTTGATTTCTTTTTTGAACCAAACTCCTGTTCGTTGCAACTGCGATTGGAGGGTTGTCTTATGCTGCGTACCTCATCCCAGCGAGGACGATTGATGGAGCTAGAAGACAGCTCTTTTATGGAATGTAGGCGACGCGTGGAATGGTATACACATCATGTACCGCTTGTCTACAACAGTTTTAATGGGTTAACGGAGTTGCCTCCACCTCCAGTGGACACCAATACATTGCATCATGCATCGCTATGCAGTGCTCCCACCGCAGATGGGAGTAACAACACGGCTTTGGGGAATTTTGGCCATGGTGAGAAAGTCATTTTGAAGGATCTTGAACGGAGTATTTTTGTTGTTAGCAATGCACCATATGCACTTCCTTTTGTATTTAAACGCAATGTGTCGCCCCCTGTTTTGTGGGCAAATGAAGGTGCTAATGCTACACCTTTTGCCATGCCTGATGTGGGTAGTTACAGTAAAGATAACCGAGCACGTGCAGGAAAGTTGGGACGGCAATGGCAAGCGTTAAACTTGCTTGTCTTCACAACTATTCGTAATTTCAAACAGAAAACAGGTGTGAAAGCAGATGGTAAAGGAGGTGTTGACGCTCTTCATCGCGGCAGTGTCAATGCCCTAGAGTCTGTAGGCAGCGGTGGTCCTATATTGCATGAGCCAGTGCGGCGGCTCCCTATGGAGATGAGTACGCTGGAAGCAAACGGTTCTGAGGTAATTTTTACTCCGTTAGATTTTGTGGCGGGGAGGGCCATTGCGAGGTATGTAGGCCGCCTTTCCCAGCACTTTATTCGTGAAGCCTACGAAATACAATCTACTAGAGACATTGGTGGTTTCTTTCAGAAAACAGAGTTTGAGATCCAATGCATGGTGCAGGCGATGGTATGCCTTATGGGAGGAAACGCTTTACTGAAGCATCGTGTGACATATCATGAAGTGTGGGATTCTGATGGCTCGGATTCTGCCTCCGTGTTTGTCACAGTGACGGGGGATGTGGTACAGACAAGCTTTCTTCCTCTAGCTTCTCTGTCTTTGGATACTGGTAATAGTGGTGAAGAAGGAGGCGCAATTTAACAACAGTGAATGGAAAGGATGGATGTGGGGGGAATGACGGTTAAAATATGGCCAGGAGTTGAGTGGAAGTGGCGAACGAATCCCAAGGTTTGAATATGTTAAGGAAACGCTTGGTCCGCTGCACAGCGCGAGCTTGGTAGATACGCATATATATATATATATATATATATATATATATATATATATATAT